CGCCCCCACGGCTGAAAGGGCGAGCATGTTTGGTGGGACGGGGATTCGAACCCGCGACCCTCAGATTACGAGTCAAGCGCCCTAACCACCTGGTCATGCCGGGCCTGCAGGTTTGTTCCAAGACTTCTCTGTTTGACTAAGATTAGACTATCGTGGCCATACTTAATTGTACCTCCTGGTTCCTTAACGATTATCTTAACTAAGAAATCCCTTTTAGTTCTTATTTCATTTATCTTAATCATACTTTAAAGATGGTCGATGGTCATACGGATGGTCAGGAGAAGAAAAGTGAATATTATGCATATTACCAGCTCAGAAAACGCTTAAGGATTTGCTCCACAGTGCAATGAAGGAAGAATAACGAGTGATGTGTGCTGCACTACCCACGTTTCACTATTCTACCTCAGGTAAAACACCAATACGTTTCTTGAAGCAGACGTCTAGCCGACGTCACGTTATTCGATCGTTGTGGATCTTCCTCCAACTCTTTCCTCCTGATTCATACTCACTTGCTGGCGGCATGCGACATGTATTACACGTGAGATTTTAGGTTCTGTCTTCTGTTGTGTCTGAAATTAAATCGGAAGAAAAGGGTCTAATTCCAGTCTTTAACTTGATTTAAACGTCACGAACGTGATGAAAGTAGAACGATCTTACTTCGTAAAATGCGAAACCTTGAGGAGTTTGTGAAAGATTACTAATGTAGAACTTGTGTCTCACGTGCCAATCAAACAATTACATTGATCTAACTGAACTAGGCTTAGTTTATCTCAGTCAATACAACTAAGTTAACTGAATTAGTTTCAGTTTCTTACAACTGTAAGAAAAACTAAAAGTTGAACTGAACTGTTTTCACATCACATGTCCCTACCTCGTGATGGCAAGATTTTAACTGGAAAACCTTAGAGTTAACATTATCACATCATCTCATTTCGTCTTTAGTCTTTAAAGAGCTACAGCATCCCATTATGGACCATTCTTATATATCGACTTCTTACCTCTTTGAGTAAGTATGTAGCATTGTATGTAATTTTCCTTGAGTAAGTCTTTAGTATTTGTAGGAATTATTTCTTGAAAAAGTCCACAGTGTTAGCACGTAGTATTCCTCAAGAAAGTCTACAGTATTGGATTGAAGTATTCTTTGTAAAGTTTACCGTATCTATATGTAGAAGTACTCGTGTTGAGTTTTTAGTATGTGTATGTAGTTTTCCTCGCGTATTTCTATTGTATTCATACAAATTGTTTTTGCATAAGTTTGTAATGTTTCTATAAAGTATGTTTTTGTGCTATACTTTTTTCCCAAGAAAACATTCTTTAAGGAGTAAGCCTTATTTTTTATTATCATTTCTACTGAAGGTTTGTAGCCTATTATATGTGAAAAAACGTTGTAATTATAAACAGTGTAAATGAGGCACAGTGAAAGAACAACTGTGTGTGATGTACAGAGTTTCTGTTACATTATTAAATGTTATCATAACATTATATCCTTTTGTTTTTTACAAATTATTTCATGTGTAGTTCGACATACCAAAATAGAACTTTCCAAGATACAAAGTTAATTGTTTACAACTACAAATTACAAATTTTTCTGTAATTGTTGAACCAAGCCAAAGTTCTGTTTCGAAAAAATCAAACTAAAGAAAAATAATTTTAACAATCAAATTTATGCTTTAAACAATTTATTAATAACTTTTAATGAGGATAATATATAAATTAAGATAATTATATCATTTTTATTTTCACGTGTTTTTAGTGTTCATAAAAAAATATATATGGAAAATCCTCCATGGTCGTCATCAATATATATCCTCTTTTGTATGTTATGAAATCACATTTCTAATACAATAGTATACAAATTCTATGTGTTTTCATAAAGTTGTTTTGTAACATCCAGTCCGTTTGAAACAGCGATTTTGCAGAAAAAGCAGTATATCCACAATTTAAACTGAAATTTTAATATGAAACTCGAGATATATCTCAAGAATACAATATTTTTTTTATGAAAGATTTGCCAACAACTGGTGGTATGGGCCTTTATGTTATATTAAACGGAAACAAAAATGGATGCAGCTGTTACCACCGCCTAGTTGGCGGATGTGTTCCAACCCGCCATTATTTCCCTTCACGCTTCTTAACGCAACAAAGAAACTGAATTACGTTATTTGAGTAAGTTTTGTTCACAAATTACGTGCTTTCTTTACTTAATGAATTTGAATGCCCTACAAACTGTGAAAATTCTCAGTTTTGTTAAAATTAGCACAAAGCTGATTTTAGCATTGTAAATCCGAAGACTTGCCTCTTGTGAAAGTACTGTATTTTGTCCAGAAATTTCTCATTTCAGTAACTGATGTTTCATACCTTAGCCAAAAAGTTTTCAAGATTGATAATTTCGAGAAAGTTGAGCATAATTGTTCAGCAATTTATCAGAGAGTCTTGAATTTTATAATAATCGAATTACAAATCAACTCCTCAGTCACTAAGTATTGTAGCTCAACATCATTCAGGAAGTTTTGAAGATACTAATGGACGTACTGAACTGTCAGGAAGTATCAAGTTATTTATAATTGTATTATGGGTTAAATGGTTTCAAGTCGCTAATGATCGTACTTAACGTTAGTCAGAAAGTCTTCAATTGAACTTAACAGTTGTCAGAAAGCATTCAGTTATTAATGATTGTATTATAACTTAAACAGAAAGCCTTCAAGCGATTAATTAGTATCATATTAGTCAAAAATAAAAGAATTAATTTAATTACAAAACCTGAAAACGATAAATAAGATCGCAAACAACGATAAACAATACCGGAGACTAATAAAAAATCGTCGATGCATTACAACTACTTAACATTATTTTAAGAGTTAAAAATTGATAAAACACAAATAAGACTAACTTATTGCGAACTTAATTTGGTGATATTTAGTTTCCAGTATGTTTATTTGTATTTATGGCAAAGCTGCTAAGGCTACCTGCTGCAGTCCCTAATTTGGAACTACCGATCAGCAGAAACCTATCAACCACCACCCGTGCTAAAGGATTGACTGTCACTCTTACAACTCACCCACATATTAAAGTAAGGGATATTCTGTAGTATCGCATTATTTAAACCCTGGTTTACCAGCTCCGAAATCCAGAGATTTACCACAGAGCCAACCCGGTAGGTCAACGGTAAATTTACGGACTTAAAATGTTAAAATACGGGGTTCGATTCCCTGCAACGGACAGAGCGCAGATAGCCCACTGCGTAGCTGTACGTAAAACAGCAACAAAAATTCATCTGGGTATTTTCCAAAGTTATTCAAAACTGAAGATAAAAATGTTTCTTGAAAATATAATCTATAAAAAAGAACATCTTGAAGTTTCCCAAATAATAAATCCAGATATTTAGCTCTTCAGCCGCCAGTTGCTTAGAATCATTGATCGCTCATGTACAGACATATTTGGAGTCTTACAGTTTGATGTTTAAGTTATCGAACAGATAAGAGATCGAACGTTTCACCACTGGCGCCAATTGCTTTCTTATTTCTTAATAACAGGAGGTGTCTCTGAGAAAAAAAGTAAAGAAAAACTATTAGGTTTCACCATTTCAAATAAAAACCAGACATATAAATCTGTAGAGCATATAATAATAAAATTACAGGATAGTAACTAATCCCTTAAAAAATAAAAATGATTATAAATTAGAAATGTGAATTGTTGAAATAGCAAATGATCTAAGTTTACACAAGTGCAATGATGAATACAGATACGATTCAACAACACGAAAATTAATAGTGTCATAAAAGGATAGTGTTTGTTGAAATGTAAAGTTTTATCTAGGCATAATCATCCCTGATTTAATTTCAGCTGATAGACTAGAGAGAAAATAGCTTAGTTTTTGTTTGTTTGTTATTAACTACACAATGGTCTACCTGTGCTACGGCTACCGCGATTATCGAAACCCGAATGTTAGTGTTATAAGCCCCCAGACTTACCGCTCTTGCTATTCTTATTTAATCGAATAGTAGTAGTGGTCGACCGTCACTTTTGTAGCAAAGCCTACGGCCTCAAAGTGCGATTTGCTACAATAGATCGCGAACCGTAGGTTCTTGGATTCACAGTCTGGGCACGCTAACCGCTTGCCACGCCTGGCCCAGCGAGAGTTGATTAGACTATCCAATTATAAGAAAAGAACCCAGTAAGGAACAATTTAACCTTTTTTTGTAGTAATCTGATACGAATGTCTAACAGCACTGGCTTGTATCAGAACATCTACTTGTGTCGTTAGTAGTACAAATGTGTTTAAATTATAGAGATACTTTTAAAAATGATATTGCAAATCTGATGTTGTGAAAGTCTGAGATGACCTTAGGCAATAGTTTGATGTTTACTTACAGATGCCCAGGACTTATTAACTCCCACCATCGAAACATCTGTGCGTCATTAATCAAAAGAACTCTAAGCTGTCGTTATACAAACCTATCTTTGCCCAGGAATGTTTTTGTTACAATAATAAGTACTTCTTCAAATAATGTAACTAAAACTTAGGATTTCATCATGGTATTTTGGATGGAAGAGCGTAGTGCAGTCTTGAATATATACATAATTTAAAGATGTTTTATTTTGGGAATGACTTTAAAATAGAAAGTCTATAGTTTGGAAGTTTAGAATAGACTCAGACTCCAAAAAAGCAGAAATTATTCAAAACTTTGTTTGAATTAAGCCCTATTAACTTCTGGAAATTATGAAACTTATTTATTTTACACATATATAAAAAAATAAATTCATGTTTAAATTTACCAAAATCAAGATGCTTGTTACCAATAAATGTCTTAAGAGTACTTTTTGCATGCACGAAAAGAAGATGAGTAAAGACTCTAAAATCAAGTATTTTCCTTCGCTTGTCAATGATTTCAATACGTTAGTACTTGTTTCTGGTTAAATAAAAAGACTGCAATACACACTATGTATAACGAATATTTGCATGTTGTGTGGCTTATATATATATATATATTATTCCGACCACTACTGTGTTTGCTATGTGCATTCCAGCCGACCTGATCAGCTCTGAATTGATCGAAACGCATTGTCGGCAATAATATGACGAATATAATAAGGTTGGAATATTAATATTATACCCTTTTCTAATTCTTGAAAAATCTGTAAGAGACTGGATAAAGAATGTAGTGTATAAAAATATAATAGGCCTAATTCCAATGTCTTATGACAAGAGTAATTAGTCAATGTTATATAAAAAGACATTTGTAAGTTGTTTCAGTTACACGTAGCAACGAAATGTATTTTCTGCAAAGAATAAATTAATGTAGAGATAATTGTCCCCAAAGATGTTTTTCTAAGTTAATGCGTAATTAGTGTCGTTCACGCCGTACCTTGTGGAAATCACAGGGTTAATGATTGCCAAAATAAATCATTTACAACTTTTTTTATCAGAAAAACTATTCAAACGAAGAATACTTCTAAAGCACATCTGGATTTGAGAACTAACAACTACTCTAATTTACAAGATCACGTTTACTGTTATTAAGACAGTTATTAAAGTTCAGAAAACACATTTGCGAAGAACTTCAAATCAATTAATATTTCAGGTTAAAACAGTAGAGGGAAACCTACTTATCACAAAGGAAATGTTGCACCTTTGAAAGCCTTGATTTGTTTTCTTTTATATTCCATTAAAAAAAAAAGTTTGCTTATTAACGTGTATATTTTTAATAAAAAATGAGGAGTTAATAAATCAAATTTTTGTAAAGATCCAGATGATCCATAAAGCAATGGTTCAGAATCTGGAGTCTGCTAGATGGTTTCAGGAAACCTCAGCACATAAACAAATATTCTACATGTTTAAAACATCTGTGATGTCGAGCAAAGTAATATTTTCAGCCAGAATTCTTCTTTGTTTTTCTGTGTGATTGAGTTCTTTTAAGGAATGAATTGCAATGAACGCAAGGTAACCCAGAGTGGCTATGCATTAAATCATTAAGTGGGGGTCTTCTGCCAGGGTATGTAAGATCT